TCCTTAATATAGTAAAAAAATAAAACCCCCAGTGGTGAATAAATACCACCAAAAGAAAGCTCTATCTGTCCCCAAAAAAGGGTATAAAATTCATTTCAGTACAGCGCTGCATGACGGAATAAATGTCAGTCAAAGTACCGCAGCGCTGAATACTGAAAAATGGCCGGGACAGGAAGGGGGTTTAACACCGCGGATGTCAACTGGTTAAATTCAGGTGGTTACATTGTTATTCCTCTCCCCAGGGTCCCGGAGTTCTTATTACAGAAGACGGCACTGTATATGAGGGAGAATTCACTGAGGAATGCGCGCTGTCTGGAAAAGTGAGTTCTCTGTTTATAAACCTATATACAAGGGGGGGTCCCCTCAGGGTGTCTTATAATATTATAATGATAGGAATACAGAGGACACTGAACCCGCTTTGGTAGTTTTATAATTGGTCATTTAAAGCACCATCAATCTAGAGATAGCACGTCTTGTACTTCAATACAGGCCATGAATTTGTAGGTCTCTCCCCTGGCTGTCTCTCCTCGCTCTCTCTCCTGGCTGTCTCTCCTCTCTCTCTCCTGGCTGTCTCTCCTCTCTCTCCCCTGGCTGTCCCTCCTCGCTCTCTCCCGGCTGTCTCTCCTCTCTCCCCTGGCTGTCTCTCCTCTCTCTCTTTCCTCACTCTTCCTCTCTCTTCAGGCTGTGTCTCCTCTCTCTCTCTCCTGGCTGTCTCGCCTCTCACTCTCCTGGCTGTCTCCTCTCTCTCTCTCCTGGCTGTCTCGCCTCTTCGGCCGCCCCGGGCACCACCAACACCCCCCCTCCCCCCGCCAGGGGGAACTTGCACTCTAGTCACACCGATACCAACCCCCCGCACCACCGGGATTACTTGCCGTCACTTCATCACTTCAGGACGGGAGCCGGACAGCGCAGCCGACGGATGGGATCGTGACTCAGAAAACGAAAAGCAGCCGCCGGCCACTTAATCGATCTTACTGCTTCCTGGGTCACAGCGACCTCTGTGACCCAGGAAGCAGTAAGAGCGATTATGTGGCCACCGGCTGCTGTTCGTTTTCTGAGTCTCGATCCCATCCGTCGGCTGTGCTTTCCGGCTCCATCCGTCCTCCCGCCCTCTTCACAAGCAGGCAAGCCGCCCTCTACTCCTACACACAGACGGGCTCCGGCTCGCCCCTCCTCTTCACAACATAGTCGTTTGAACAAGGCGTTTGACTACGGCCGCCCCCCAGGAAGGTGCCGTCCTAGGCAAACGCCTAGTTTGCCTCGCGGTACATACGCCCCTGGCGCTAGAGTGTTCAGGTTTCGCTTGAACCAAAGTTGGCAATCCCATTTCCAGCACTTCTAGAGGTTGTGAATTTGGACCCATCTATAGAATGTTTTGTGGTCCTTGTGTTTGTTTTTGTCACCGATCTTCACTTTTACTTCCTCTTGTGGATCACATTATTTCCTGTCCCCCAGTATACACACAACGAGAGCCGGAGAGATTGTACATCCTTTATCTGCAGATTCTGTTCCCAGAATAGAAGAGGTGTCGGCTCTCAGTATTGATTCGGCTTTAAGCAATGGGAGGAGAAGAGATAAAATGTAACAAGTAATAACCTCCGGCGACCAATCAGAGCTCAGACTCAGAAGAAGAAACGATTGATCTTTGTGACATGTCGGTTACTGAACTTTGGATGTTGTATTTTTACGTAGAGTAGAAGTCAACCCAACCACGAGAATCTCCTAGAACCTTGGTTCTCAACTGGTGGGTCGTGACCCAGACCCCAGGCTGAGGATCAACTCCAATTCTTGTAAGGTATGGAGACTGGGTGGATCTTTTGAATGGCATCCCAAACACACCTCCCACCCACAATTCGATCGCACGAAACGTGCGGTACCGCAATGTTGTGCATTCCATGGCAGTGCGACTTGGGTCGCGACTTAATGAACAAGGACAAATGTGGGTCCTGAGGTTATACAGGTTGAGAACCGCTGTCCTAGAAGCTGTAACATGTTAAGGTGGCTGAACACGTATCCATGCCGGGCCGGATTTGCCACATGGCCAACCGAGACCCGGCCTCAGGGCAGCAGGGAGTAGAGGGGCAGCAGGGGTGTGGAATACCTATCTCCTGATGCCCGGCACATGCAGTTCCGGGCGGTGGGCGGGTAGTTGTTTTCTACAGTTAGCCCGGCTTTGGGCAGGCAGAGCTAAATGCACAGCGGGGAAGCCGCCGATTGTTTTGTACGAGTGATCCCGGAGATGTCGCCGAGATCACTTGTATGCAGCCTACATGGGGGGAGGGCAGCAGAGAGAGTAAATCCGGCCCGGTATCCATGTGATCATTCAAACAGAAGTATGAGGTAAGTGTTTTTCCCCCATAGTTCTCTTTAGGGACACGGGAGGACATATACTAGCGTCCTCCCGTCACCCAAAGCCCAGTATATCATAGGCTATTGCCCACGATATACGGTGAGCGCCGCAGCCGGATCCCGACATTACTGTCTGGATCCACCCAGCTGCGTGAGTGACGGCCGGCTCTGCCTATCCAGAGGCAGAGCCAGCTGTGCCCGCCCCCCCTCCTCTGTCTGTTCATCCACTCAGTGCTGGAGGATCGGAGAGGGGAGGGGGGATCCCTGCGGGGAGCTGTGACTAACACTCACCTTTCACTGCAGGGAGGCTCACTTCCCGATCGATAGAGCCGACCTGTGACAGCTTCTTTGTCACAGGTCGGCTCTGACTATGAGCGGAAATCAGTCACCTCATAATTCTTCTTTCAATGCGACTAAAATGATCAAATTGAATAAGAATTGTGAACTGCAGACCCTCAAATGATTTCCACTGTCCCAAATCAGTTTTGATCAACTGAGCAAGTGTGTGTGTGTGTGTCAAAAAACAATCATAACACATATCAATTAAATGATTGATTTTTGATAGCTCCTCCCTGATACATTGTATTTTCAAATGATACTGTAAAGGGGCCTATGTACAAACCATCCACAGAGCCATTCACCCTGCGAATCTCTGTGAACGTTGGCACTGTGCGAAGAGATGCAAAAACGAACGTTCTTAGGATACTTTCTTTAGAAGTCGAATGTCATTTTGAATGTAATAATACATTATGGCCACTAGATGGAGCGAAGGAGCACGAATACTTATTTCTTATGCACCTCAACTCCATCTAGTGGCCATAATGAGGCATTAAAGTGACATTAAACCCTCAGATTTTTTAACATAAACCAATACTGTAATGTGCGCCTTACTGTAATCCATGGTTGTTTCCCTTCTCTTTGCTGCTCTTCCTTTTAAATCCTCATCTCTTCTCATGCTTGGGGAGAACTTCCCTTTGCAGCTGAGTGCCTCTTCCTGTAGTGCTGACTCAGGTTGCAAACCTACACACAGACACCATGTATCCATTCCTGAGACAAGGCAGTCTGCTGCAAAACAGAAGTTCTCCTCCAGCATGAGAAGACATGAGGATTTAAAAGGAAGAGCAGCAAAGAGAAGGGGAACTACCATGGATTACAGTAAGGCGCACATTACAGTATTGGTTTATGTTAAAAAATCTGAGGGTTTAATGTCACTTTAAATATAACTTTCAACATTACATTCAGTAGACTTGCGCAGCGGCAAAAAAATTTGTCTTGTTTCGGATTATTTAGTTTTTCGTGATTCGAGTCCAAAATTCAATTCGTTTCGGGATTCCGATTCGGACAAAATTCGTTAGCGGTAGTCTGTACAAATTGTCGGTCGGTTATCGATTCGTTCGTTGCAGCAAAGTGACATTTGAGAGGATTTTTTATTTTTTTTCCCCCTCAAATGTCACTTTGCTGCAACGAAATTTCGTCCAACAAAAATTTTTCGTACAGACTACCGCTAACGAATTTCGGAATCGGAAATTTGGATTTGTTTGCATTCGTTATATTGGGAATTCGGATACATCCGAATCTCCGAAATTTCGTCCGAATTTCGATTCAGAACGAAAAGAATCGCACATATCTATCATTCAGCATATATATATATATATATACTATGATTGTTGTTGTTTGTTTTTTTTTTTCATTTTTCGCAAAGGTTCTCAGGGCAAATGGCGCTTACATTGTTTATAAATTGATCCCTATGTGTTGCATCGCTTGATAATTGATCGCTCGTTTGTCATCACTCATAACTAGATCGATACGTGTCTGGCCACCTTTCATGTTATCACAAACGTCATTTTCAATTTGTTCTCAATTATTTTCTCATTAAATAAACCAGTGATCCCTTCATGGAGGTCCTTGTTTCGGCACTTCCTGTTATAGGGTGACAACGCTCTCTACATAATGTGCTCAGCAACTGCTGGAGCTGGAACTGTTTCTGATCACATTATGTAACAAAAGTCCAAAAGCAAGAATTCAATCCACACTAAAGAAGAGATCTCTTCGGTTTCAGTTCTTTGAGTTCCTTAAAGTCCCCACATTATTGTTCCAAGCCCTGATAAAGGGGGAGAGTTGTTCCCCCAAAAGGCATTGGCTCTTTTTCTGTTGTGATTGAATAATTGAAGAATCTTTGGACTTTTTCAACCATTTGGTCCGACACCCATTCATTATATGTCTACAATCTAAGCTTCTTCCTGGTACCCCCCAAGGGAGACCTTTCATGGTGATGGAGCCACCCTACCAGAGCCAGTGAACTCTTAGACTTATCAATGAGCATTGAGATCCCAGCGCCTCCAATGTATAGAAACATACCAAAGGTGTTCTATGGGGTTGAGGTCAGAACTCTGTGCGGCCAGTCACGTTCCTCCCCCCCCATGTCTTTATGGACCTTGTGCGCAGTCATGTGGGAACAGGAAGGGGCCGTCCCCAAACTCCTCCCACAAAGTTGGGAGCATGAAATTGTCCACAATGTCTTGGTGTGCTGATGTCTTAAGAGTTCCCTGCACCGGAAATAAGGGGCGGAGCCCAACCCCTGAAAAACACCCCCCCCATAATCCCCCCTCCAATGATTTGGAGGGGGGTCCCAATACTTTTGGCAATATAGTGTATATTATATACCTGTTCTAATCCAGTCCTTCACATTGTATTCCTAATTTCAAGCCCTGATGAAGTGAGGTGACGTCCCGCCTCCGAAACGCGTTGGTTCTTTATAAAGTCATCCTCATGGTACACATTGGCATAGCTTTGCATCTGGACTATTTATCTGTGTCGTCGTACTTCAGTCTCAGATCCATGTTGTTGGTCCCGATCTGTCGTTCTGTGTCGGGGTGGCTTCCAGGGTGTCACAGGAAGTTATTGACCCCCCCCCCCCCCCCCTTTTTTTTTTTGTGAA